TCCTAACTTTTGAAACATAACTTTAGTCCCCATCTCGACTTCCACTATAGCAATTGAAACAACCACCTCTAAAACCCACTCCCATCGAGAAATTATTTGGTAGTCTTGCGACACAACCACGTGATACCCTATGTTGTGAATGGTGGAGAGAGTGAGACTCACGATTTTGTGTTGGGTGGTTGAAAAACAGCAGAGTATGGTAGTTTGTAATTGGTCAGGGACATGGCCACGTGATGTTCCTGGACCATGAAATAAATTTTCCTCTCAACCCTAGTACCACCCCTATCGTGCTCCTCCCCAACCTTCCACCTCCCTTGTACACCTTTGCAACCTTCCCATATGCACCATCATGACTCTCTTCTTGATCTCTCTCTGTCAAAATGGTTGGAGGGGCTAAAGCGGCGACATCGAAGAGAGGGTTGCAATTGCTAGATAAGGGTGGCAAAATGAAGGGAAAATAAGGTAGGGGCCATCAAGAGAGGAGATAAGGATGGGTGGTGATATGTAGGTGGAAATGGGGTTAGTGATGGAGATGAGGATGTGATGGAAGGTGGTGTAAGTTAGTGAGGAGTTGAGAAATGGAGATGAGGTGAGAAATCGGCTACCAAAGGTGTGTAGAGGCTTGGGAGTGGTAAATGAGGGTGGCCAGAGTTAGGGATAGGCGGGGGAGGGTGGTCAAAGTTGTTACTAGTAGGTGGCGGTTAGGGTGGAGATAGGGTTACGTTTTTAGGGGTTTGTAAGGTTAAGGGTAGGATAAAATTAGAATTTTATAAATAAATAAATAAATAAATAAATAAAACACACACCCAATTAATACACATTAATGTATTTTATGATGGGGTAAAATTGTAATAAAAAAATATGAAGGGATTCCAAAGAAATAAGTGTGGTGCTATTAGTAGGGGTGGCCACCGATCGGGCCAAGTTGGGTTTGGGAAAAGCTTGCACCACCTGATAAGAAATTTTGTATCTGTCCAAACCAAGTCCAACCTGAACATCAAGCTCATATAGTCATCTCAAGCCTAACCTGAAGGAAATATAATTCCCAAATTCAACCACTTATATATAGAGACTATTTTTTGAAAAACGAAATGCAATAAAACTTGTTTCTATAAAAAAAATGCATTAAAACCATTCAATCTAACATTCCAATATACAACAGTTATTATTAACAAAGAAACAATTAAACAGCCATGTTAAGTTAAACAAAGTCACTACTCACTAACAGAGTTCAACAAATAGCCAATAATAATGATTGATATGATGAAACAAATAATATAAATTAAAAAAGACAAAAGAAGAATTAGTAACAGAAATGACGGGGCTACAATCTACATAAAGAGAGAAGCTGAGATCAAATAAGGGGGAATAGAAGAGGGAGAGTTACAGTGGTTGAGCTCTAGTTGATTAAAGGAAATAAATAAACAAAACAAATAAACAGATTAGTTGCATAATTTTGGAGCATAGAAGGGGTGTTTATATATTTTTCAGTAGGAAAAGTCCATGTTGTGCACCCTATCACAAATTGACGTAACTTTACGATAAAATTTTGTACCATTAACCACAAAATACAATAACCTCTTCACAAATTAACGTAACAAAATGTCCAAAATTTGTGATTCATGTTACAAATGTTTGTGGCTTGGTTACAACTTAGCCTGAGCCTCCCAGCCAAAATAGCATTCCCAAGCCCTCTAGAAAAATAGGATTGGGTGGACCAACGAGACAATACCTACCCCTAGCTATCAGCACTCATTTTGAAAACCCCAATTTCACAAAACAATAGAAATTTAAAATATAAATTCAAAAATACTTAACTTTAAAAAAACATTTGAAAAACAAATATATATATATGTGATTTAGTTAAAAACTCCACCACATTATCCTGTTCCTAAACTCCATTGTGGTGTTTTTACATCTACTTAAAAGAACTTAAATTTTGTATTTTTCTTTATACACCCCCATAATATTCCCTACCAGTGTTTTAAAAGGCGTGCTTAGGCACACGCACCTAAGCATGAGGCGCAATGAGGCATAGCCTTGTGCTTCAAACAGGTCGAGGTGAGGAGCAATACACAAGGCATAACTTAGGGGCTGAGGCGAGGGCTTTTTTTTTAGGCGCGAGCCGCGGGCTTCAAGGGCTTTACCTATTTTTCTACTCCAATTATTGATTAAATACTTTTTTTGTGGGCATACCCATAGGGAATAAAAATTCTTCAATATAAAATGACCAAACATGATCAAAAGAGAGCAGAAAGTGATTAAAAAAAAATCCCTAAGCGGAGAAGATTAAAAAATGCGATCAGAAAGTGAGAAGACGACACGACTTCAGCTTCTTCTCTTCTTTTTCGATGGTTCTCTTTCTCTTCCTCTATTCTTCGATGAGTTCTTTTGGTTGGGTTATCTCTCTTCCTCTGTTTTTTCTTTATTTATTTTTCTTATCTTCTTTTCTTATTTTCTTCTTCTCTTCTTTGATGGGCTCTCTTCATGGGTTTGCCCCTGTTTTTTATTTTCTTATTTTTCTTCTCCTCTTCTTTTCTTATTTTATTCTTTTCTTCTTCTTTTCTTGTCCTGCTTCTTTGATGGGTTATCTCTCTATTTTTTCTTCTCTGTTATGCTTATGAAGCTGGCTTTATGATTTTTAGAATTCTATATATATTTGTTATGGTTAAAATTTTGCTTATTTTATAATTTTGCTTTTCTTCTACTACTTGCGCCTCCCGCTTAGGCTATAGAAGACCTTATTGCCTTGGTGCGATTGTTCCCTACTGTACTATTCCTAACCTTCCATCTTGTTTCTTCTACACACTCCCTCATAGTTCCTCTCTCTCTCTCTCTCTCTCTCTCTCTCTCTCTCTCTCTTCCACCACCACCACACACAGAAGAGAAAGGTGACGTATCTAGAATTTCAGAAGGTGGGAGGTGACAAAGAGGTTCATGGTGTGGCTAAGGGAAATGAGGGAAGGGAGAGGATGGCGGAGCTAAAGAAAATGAGGAAAGCAGGACAATGGAGGGAGAAGGGGTGGCAAAAAAGTTGGTTATATATTTAAATTGGATCCTGATGACTGTTCCGATGATGATGTTGAAACGAAATAGTCTGCAAGGAGGTCAAAAGACACATACATATAAATCTTTGTCAACTTGATTTGATGCAAATTTCAAGTCATTCATAGTTCTAGGAAGAGGAAGTAATAGCTTCATGGTTTTTATATGTAATTAATATCAACTGACAACTTGGTTTTGTACAAATTCAATAATAGTTTTCAAAGAGGTTGGTTCTTTTTCATTCATACAGAGCCACATTTGCTGGTTCTTTTCCATAGACTCTGAATTCATCCAAGGCACTGAACAATAGAGTAATAACTTTGAAGAAATTTTCCCCATATAGCAATGAGAATGTAATGTAAGTCAAACTTATTCTCCATTTCCCTCACCTTTCCCTTTCCCTTTTCTTTTCCAAATTTCTAGCCAAATCTATGATCCAAACACAGCATTATTAGCAAAGCGAATCAAATCCTCAGGCAGATATTAGTGTGATAACATTCTTGGTTGTACTTGATAGTATAAAATCCAAGTACCTGTAATCACCCAAACAACCATTGTTGGGCAAGGAGAGAACTTGAAATAGACTTCATGCATAATGAGGCTAAAGCTTAACCATTGTGCTATTCTATGGGTTTAGCTATTACTTTCACATTTCCTTCATTTTAATAAATGGTTTCTGGCTCATTCTCTTTCCCCCATTAATATTTTTCTTCTCTCTTGAATGAATCAACCAAAGAGCAAACATGTAGTCCTACATCTTAGCAAAACTAATCAACTCCTAGCCAACAAAATCTCAACAACTTTAGGGACCCTAATATGTTTAGAGAATATTGAAGGCAAACCTCTCAAAAACAAATCCATTTTGTTATCGATGTAACCTACAACTTGGCATCAAAGCTAAAATTTTGTTGTCACCACATCCATTCTTACCTCATTTTTTCCCCATGTGAAAGGCCCTTGTTTATGCACATATGTATTTCCCAAATGGCTTTAGCTTCTCCCATTCTTATAGCTGGCAATGGCACCTCTCAACCGAGAATTTCTGCTACCTAATTGCTTAAATTTTTGTTAAACATAGCTGCTCCACCGGAAGTTGTATGCAATTTTTGTTGACCGTATTTTCTCAACTTAAAGATTTGATGACAAACATAAGCTACTAGCCACTTGTTATTCTCTTTCGCTGAGTTCTATGAGAATACAATTTAAAAAGTCAACAACTTAGCAAAGTCATCCTAAGATACTATAATAGGATGATCACAGCAGTAGTAAAGATACAAATTAGGCCATCTTAGCAATCCACATTCTTATAAGAGACTAAAGCCTGTGTAATTATTCACTTAGCATGTTCTTAGTTGCTAGAACTTGGCTTACTTCCACCTAAAATTCTCTCTCCCCTGACAATTATCAAAGAATAATTTGGAGTGGTTCTCCTACTACAAACCAGACTTCTTTAAAACAAAAATAGAAAACATCAAACCTGCTAATTGTAACAAGTAGTCATATTGAATACTTGGTTGTTAATCCTGATTCAGATTAATCAAAAAACTCAACCCCAATTTTGCCTCTAGTTATCAAAGGACTTTCCACGAAACATTCACAGAATGGGAAACAAAATGAACCGACCTTAAATAACTCTTGCATAAGGCAATTGGTGCATAATTCTTGTAATCAAGTATTATTCAAAACACATGTTTATAGTCATACAATTGAAAACACAACATAGACATCATAAAACAGGTGAACCGCAAAGGATTTTGAGCAGAAAACAATGTCAAACATATGCTAGAGACTCAATGAATTCAAAAGCATCGAACCATCCACTAAAATTTAACGAGCCTTAAAAAGAAAAACACTCATTATCAGGGCGACGAGGAATATCAAACAACTCTCTAAAACTCTTGTCCTCGAAAATTATACCGTATGACCTTACCGGGTATGTGCAACACTAAAAATGACTACTCATCATTCTTTTCCCGTATATGACCCAGTATGACAAATTGATAGTAATGCAAGTCTGATGGATCAAGTGAGCTGCGAATCATCTCCGAGAATACATTCGGAATCGCATCAAGATCAACCCGGTACTGGACAAACCACCCACAGTAGCCCCTCTCCATCTCATACACATTGAATTGCGTAGTGTGAGGACCGTAAATCTCAATGAGATGCAAATGATCACGAGACTCCCTAAAATACCTGAGCCTCCTCTCCTCCCAACCATCCGGGATAGGAGGCATCGGCATTGTTTCAAGACGCTCTTTGTCGACATTGAAATACAAAGAATCGCCACCTGAGGTGGAAATCCAATGAAGAGCACCATTCCAAAACACACCAAGATTGAAACTAACATCACCGGTGAAAGGGTCACCGGAGGGCGACCAGATCCCAGTTTCGGAAGAATAGATCTCGAGTTCATAATGATCAGGCAATCCACAAGAGAAATTAACAGAAACAACTTTGTAGTGAGGCGATTTGGAGGGATCAAAAGCTAAATTATAAGCATAAAAGGTAGTGAAACAGCGTAGAGGCGTGAGAACACGGCGAGGAGGTTGAGGAAGAGTAGCGAATTGACTAGTAGTAGGGTTATAGATGTATAAATGGAGACCTCGACAGAGTAAGAGACCATTGCAGGACTGTAAAATTCGCAAATCGGAGGGATCGTGGACGAAAGTGAGGGCTTTGAAAGGGGGTTTTGATGGGGATTCGTAATTGAGGAGAGAGAGGAAATCGAAATCAGGATGGATTTGGTGGGAATAGCGGTACAAGAAGAGGCCGGAAGGTCGGGGGTTTGGGTGGGTGGTTTAGAGGTGAAATAAGTGAGAGTTAGTGATGAGAGAGAGCGAATCGTTGGATACTGTCTAAGTGATATTTTCAAAACGACATGATCACCCACCTCGAATGACAAAGGTCTCCTCCTACGGTCGGCATAACTCTTTTGGCAACTCTGGGCTATAACTAACCTCTTACGAATAAGTGCCACTTTCTCTGTCGTTTCCCGAACCAACTCTAGACCTAACAAAGGTGCATCACCCACCTCGGCCCAACACACTAGAGATCTATATTGTCGGCCATACAAGGCCTCAAACGGTGCTATGCCAATACTCGATTGGAAACTGTTATTGTAGGAAAACTCCACTAAGGGTAAGTGCCTCTCCCACGAACCCTTAAAATCAAGGACACAGCCTCTAAGCATATCCTCAAGGATTTGAATGGTAAGCTCGGACTGCCCGTCAGTCTAAGGATGGTAAGCAGTACTAAAGGTCAATCTAGTACCCAAGGCACTCTGTAAACTCTACCACAATCGAGCAGTGAAACGTGGATCTCTATCCGAAATGACCATCACAGGGACCCCGTGTAGCCTCACTATGTCCATAATATACAAGTCAGCAAGGTAATCTACCGAATCTCTTACGCGCATAGGAATAAAATGCATTGACTTGGTCAACCGGTCAACTACCACCTAAATGGCATCGCTACCCCGTTGAGTCCTCGAAAGGCCCACAACAAAATCCATTGTGACATGCTCCTATTTCCACTCAGCTATAGGCAAGGGTTGTAACAAACCCGCTGGCCTCTGCTGTTCGGCCTTCACTTGCTGACAAGTAAGGCACTTCGATACAAACACCGCCACATCCTTCTTCATACCCCTTCACCAAAACTAGCGACTCAGATCATGATACATCTTTGTGCCTCCCGGATGCACCGCAAGGCGTGAATGGTGAAACTCTCGGAGTACTTCATCTCGGCAAGCCTCCGGTACAAACAAACGGTCTCGGTATCTCACACTCAGGTCGGGATACACCGTCAAACCCTTCTCAACTTTCCCACTGGAGATCTTCTCTCGGAGGGATTCTACCTCAAGGTCACCTCTCTGTGCCTCTAACACTCTAATCACAAGTGTAGGCTGCGCAACAACAGAAAACAAGGCCGCAGCCTCAACAGATACGCCCAGTAGCAAATCAAACTCGCCAAGGGCTCCCAACATCTCCCATGCCCGGATGGCTATACAAGCTACATCACCAATGGTCTTCCTACTAAGGGCATCGGCCACAACATTGGCCTTTCCCGGATGATAATGCAACTCAAAATCATAATCCTCGATGAACTCCATCCACCTCCTCTGCCTCAAATTCAAGTCACGTCCGGATCACGGTATAACAAGGGTAAACCCGGGATCGCTATAACCTCCCCCCCTTAAAGAATTTCGCCCCCGAAATTAAGCACAAGTTGCAAAACAAGCT